AAAATTATAAATTCCTATCCAATTTTATTCCTAAGGTCATAAACTTAGGCTCTTATGCTCCAAAGTTCGTACGGCTCTGATACCAATTTGATCATTGAGCCGCACCAAGGAGTAAAGGTAGCTAAAACAGGAGCCTGACCCTAGTTATATTAGGTACGCACGCCGGTCCGCTGCCGAGCCAATCTCTCCCCCAAGTAGAAACACGAACAGGCCCACACCAAGGAGTGAAGCTAGCTAAAACAGAAGCCTAACCCTAGTTATGTCAGGTACTTTTGATCATTTACTTAAGGTGCATGGAACATATATGTGTCTTAATATTATATCATTATAGCACTTCATAATTTGCTGTAAGACTAGAAAGAGAGTGAAGGGGAATTTCATTGCATTTTAAAAGATCCGTGATAAACAATATTAGTACATTTTGCAGTGAAAATAAATCAAACACATTATTTATAATTAATTAATTTAAACATATGATCATATTATAATTAAATAAATAATATTTTGATCTTATTAAACATGTATAAATTTTCATAATTTTCTTATTGTAAAATTAATTAAAAGTTAAAATCAATTATGTTTTAATTAGTTTAGATATCATTGAAGTTTTTAAACATTACTATACAAAAATGATAAAACATTATTTTTAATATGAAAAAAATAAAATAATTATTACTTTCAACTATTACAAAAGTGACATATAGTCTTTACATGATAGGGTGACAAGAAAAACCGTACCACCACTATCTCAGAATACAATCTTGACTTCAAATATAGAAATCTTATGATGTTTCACATTAAATATATAAGATTGCTTTATTATTATTCCCATCCTTAATTAAGTTGTTTTTTCCTCATCCTTAACTAGCTTATTGTCGTCCTTAAGAAGCTTGTCCTCATCCTTAAGCTGCTTTTCTCTTCCTTAAAGGCCATATGCATGTCCTTACAGAACTTCGCCTCGTCCTTACATTCCTTGTCGTCGTCTTACATTGCTTATTCTCAAAGTCCTTGCAACGCATGTCCATATACTCCTTAACTTGTTTTTTCTGAAAGGCCCAAAGTTCCTTCTCCTCTTCCTTAAGTTCCTTGCTCTCGTCCTTAAGCTTGCCCTCTGCAATTACAAAATAACCACAAAATTATTAATGAAAAAAAAACTAATTTAATATATAAATATAACTATAACTATATATACCTTTATACGCCTTGTCTGTACATCCCCTTTCACATTCTTTTCCGCATGCAAAGACGGTTTTTCCTGTGTCTTTGCAAGCAGAATGGCATGGATCGAAGCATGACTGGTAAACCGAAGAAAGCGAAGCGTCGACGGTGAGGACAAACATGCACACCAGACACACTGCAACGTTAACCAACTTCTGGGCAGCCGACATTGTTTATTGTTTGTTGTTTTTGTTATTGATGTAGTGTTTCAATTCCTTAAGATTGATGATTATGGATGGGCAATGGTAGTATTTATAGTTAAAGCTAAGGGTTAGTTAGTTGTGGTGTTGCGTTGTTTTAGGATATGGATGCTTTAATTTACTTTCATCGGATAGGGATTTATCACAAATTAATTAATTAAATGTGGATCTTGCCTGGTCTTCCTTAAATTAATTCATTGCTTTACTGCTTAGCTTCATCCTCTTCCACTCAATTTAATAATCTCAGCTCCTCACCTTAGCTTCCTCAATTCAATATATATATTCATTATTGAAATGTGATATAATTTAAAAAGTAAATTATTATTTACATTACCTAATATAATTGTCCTACTAATTGATTCGATGTTCATACATTTGAAGACTTTTAAAACTATTAATTACCTTAATAATTAAGATAATTTTTAGTCACATCAATAGTTCTAAAAGTATTACTTTCAATTTTTATAAATAAGATATAATATTATTAAATCAAAATAATTAAAATAATGTGTGAACAGTATACCAACTATTAAACATTGTTAGGTGTAAAAGATTTATAATAGTAATTTTATTGCCTAATAGAATTTATCAACTATGAAACATTGTTTATGGTAATTATTGTATGTCATTTAATACTAAAATAATTAGGTGGAGTTTGTATATTTAAGGTATAATATTATTAAATCAAAATTATTAAAAATAATGTGTCCAAAATATAAAATAAGTTATACTTGCCTTAATAATTATTTATTACAATAAATTTACAATTATAAATTTGTATAAGAAAATATAGAAACTTCTGGTTAAAAAATATTTATCTCTATTTCCTTTTTCTCTTTCGGCACCGTTACATTCCTATTCTCCGTAGAAAAAGGCAAAGTAGGATGAGAAAAAAGCGGCCTTCATCTACAACGTCCTTCCCTCTCAATTTGATTTAGCTTTTGCTTTGATTGCTGTTTTGCCAAGCGAATTGTGTAAATCCTAACGCCGGCTTGTTAAAAAAAAAAAAAAAAACATAGAAACTTGAATAGAATGTATAAACCTCGAAGTCAACATACTAACTCTAAGTTTCAAAATCCTAACAAAATTATCAAAATCACCGCCATTATCATAATAATTTCATGAAAGAGTGTAAATGGAGATTAACATAAAATTACTATAATAATTTCTTGGTATTTAGGAGCAATTTTGTTTTTCAATTTTAAGTTAATGTTTGTTTTTTTTTTTCGGGGTTTTTTTCCCCAGAAATTCAAAGGACAAAGTTGAAGATAAAAGGTAAAAAATCATCAATTTCACTTGTAAAATTGATAAGTTTTTTTTTTTTTTAATACCTTTTATCTTCAACTTTGTCTCTGAAATCGTTCTAGATCAGGATGAAGATTTTTGTTTATATAATTTTGTATTAATTGTATTAGCTTATTCGGCTATTTTGATCTTTAACTTTCTTTTATCTTTGGACAAATCTGGCTATTTTATCTTGATTCAATTTTTATTGTTTTCTTAAAAAACTAAATAATACTTGGTAGTTCAGATTCGTGACTTAGTGCTCGATCTCTATCCTTAACTTTTGTGTTTTTGGTGTTGAAACCATGGTTTTGTTTCGTTCTTCGTATACATCTTGTAATTATCTCAGAGGAATAAAGAGAATTTAAAAAAAAAAAAATGAATCACTTTCTGGTTCAGCAAAGTGCTTCGTTGCCTATGAGGAGAAGAAGAGTTTGATTTCCGATAAGAAAAACGCCGCCCTTTCCATACCACCGAAAAATTACGAAATCAGTTTTGTAGTCAATGTTACCCGGGTCTCCATCAACGTCCAATCCGTTGGATTCAATGGCACCAAAAACACTTCAAGCGACAATTGCAAATAATAATAATAATAGTCTTGAAAGCTGTAAAAAAATACTTACATTTTCATGAGTAATTTAATGTCGAATTTGTTTATTTAAATATTTAACTCATAGTATATGATTACAATGTAATATATGAAGATTCATTATAATTGTTATTATTATTATTATTATTATTATTATTATTATTATTATTATTATTATTATTGTTGTTGTTGTTGTTGTTGTTGTTGTTATTATTATTATTATATTAGTATTATTGTTATTATTATTATTATTATTATTATTATTATTATTATTATTATTATTATTATTATTATTATTATTGTGTTAAGGATATGTGTGGTTGATGTTTTCTATCTCTGTGTTGTTCTAATTATTCTCTTTTAGAATAGTTATTTTAGATTAACTGTTACAACTCCTTAGCTATTAACTCTCTCTTGTATACTATTTGTACCCAGTAGCTTCACATCAATAATACTGAAGTTCTTTTATTTACATGGTATCACTGCCTTCCTAAATGACATGCGGTCCATAGTTGACGATCTTGCCTTGACTCAGTGAAGTTCATCTCTTTACATATTGTACCCTTAGGTCATTTTACATGTTAATCTAAACAGTTAATTTTTTCAAATTTCTTTTTACCATCCGTTGATATAATTCGCAGGTCAAATCCGCTAACGCTAACCGCTAACTGCTGATTGCCAAACAAGGACATTGCGAGATAATTTCTCACTTCAATTTGTTGTGTGATTTGAATACCTTATTTGTCAACAAAACCCTCAAGTAGTTAATATGATTGGCTTAATTATATATATTTTTTAATCTTTTCATGGTATTAATAAAATACTTGGTAAATAAATATATAGCATTATTTTGTATTATAACTTTCATATTTAATTAAAAAATAGCCCACAAAAAAGATAATACACAATGTAGTGAATATAATCAATTGATAAATTTGAATGTAGAGAATTTTTACATTGGAGAAAAATAAAGACAGTAAAACTAATGAAATTATTTCTCTAAATTAATTTATTGATAATGAATAATTTTTTTTTAATAAAGACATTGTAGGGACAATGTAGCAAATATAATCAATTGATAATTTGAATGTAAAGAATTTTTATATTGGAGAAAAATAAAGACAATATAACTAATAACTTTTTTTTTTATAAGTGGGATACCCTACATATACACACTATTAGCCTCAATTAAGGTTTGAACCTATCACTTCCCACTTAGGGGAGCAACCCGATACCAGTGAACAACATGCCACTTGGTAATTATTTTTCTTTTTAATTTATTGATAATGAATAATTTTTTTTTGAAAATAAAGACATTGTAGATACATAATTCTAAATTAAAGAAATGCATCTTTTTTTTTTTTTTTGTAGATATTAAATTATTATTTAATTTAGTAAGAGTAAAATAGAGTACTAATTATGCCAACTTTGATTAGGATATGGTTCGAACCTAAGACCTTTCTTATTCAAATCAATGAGTAAGTTGAAATTAACGGAGAAAGATAATATTTAATGGAAAATTGAAGGGATAATCATATAATTAAGGATAAATTATGAAATCTCAAAGAAAAATTAAAATTTGATCAATCTGAGCCATTCATTTGATTAAAAACTTTGACTATCAATTTGTTTTTCTACCATTTATACGCCTAACTCTCTTGGACTCATATATATATATATATATATATATATATATATATATATATATATATATATATATATATATATATATATATATATATATATAATATATATATATATATAACTTTACTTCAAATTTTAGTTTTTTTAAAGAAATGTATTAATAGGTTTAGCTGGTTTAAACGGGTTTCGTGTCATATCGTGTCGACACAACCCAAAATCTATTAAAAAAATATGTCTATCGTATAAACCTGTTTACAAATCGTGTTTGTATTCGTGTTAAGAAGTTAAACCCGTTAACCTTAACATTTCATGTTCGTGTTTAGCCTTATCGTGTTTGTGTCATTATTGTGTTGAGCGAGTATAAATGAATAATACTAATGTTGTTGCTTTGTTTTGCCCATATGGGGCTCGGTAGAGGTTTTGTCACCCCTCCCTCAGCACCTCTGAAGCCCCCCCCCCCCCCCCCCCCTAAGCAGAAAGAAGGCAAGCTCCTCGGTGCCCGATCCATGCGAGCCAACCGTGCCGACCGCTGTTCCCCTAGCCGCCACGGCCACGAGACAACTCACCAACTCGGGCCAGGATTTGCTCGCCTTCCGGGTTTAGAGCAAAAGGGGTAAGGAAAATGCCACTAACTCTAACCTCGAGGAGGTGTCTCCCTTGAAACGGACTTAGCGTTACCACCCCTGGCCCGGACTCCAGTGGTGGATGTTTGACTGAGCAGTGAGCAACCAGCTGCCCTCCTGGGCAACCTTAGCGACCTGATCTGCCCGGGCGAGGATATGCACAATTGGACGGTTAACCAAATTGGTGAACGGGGTGCCGAAGATCTGGTGCAGGTATGCGCCTCGCATTTCTATATTTCTTAACTGTTTGCTCGGTAAAATTATTTGATCCTTTATGCAGCTGACTCGCATTCTCACCGCCTTCTACAGCAGAGCCAAGGCCGCGGAGGAGATCGAACCCTTGAAGAAGCCCGTCTCTCTCTAGGAGGTTGAGATTAAGTACCTCAAGATCCTGCTCAAGTCAGCGACCGAGAATTGGTCGGCAGCCAGTTGCGGACCCAAAAAACCTTTTCAGTGTGGGCGAAACGTATTTGATAAAATAATTCGAAAAAAAATACATTATAAACACATCTCATTATTAATATAAAAGAAAGTTATATATATATAAAGATAAAAGAAAGTTATATATATAATAAAGTCATACAAAAATATAACATGAACCCTGGCATCTTAAAAAGATGGCACGAGCACCTTACCACCTAATCTAGTCATATTATATTAACTTTTATCTATTTTATTATACTCATACTAAAACTGGTACTATATATACATATATACATACAAGGGTTATATTTGGAGTGGGGGTGCGATGAGGGGGGCAGCTGCCCCGCATGCTGGGTCCGCCCCTATCGGCAGTGAAGAAGGAGGCCAAAAGTGCCAAGAGGCTATGTTTAAGATCGTTAGTGCCCAAGAGGCTATGCTTAAGATGAACGACCCGAGTCACCGCTCAC